GAAGTCATCATTTTAGAAAATTACATGTTATGCCAAGAGAATGCCCAATATATCATTTTCAGATCAAATCCACTGAAAGCTTTGCATGCGAGCATACCACAAGAGAACCCACAGAACATCAGTGCTGCATTACTCGTATAGCATAAAACTGTTTCCCACCTCTGCTGCTGCCTAAATTCTTTTTAAACAAATCATTTCTTCCTAGAATATTTCCCTTCAATTCTGTTTCCCAGTTGGTTCTAAAAAATACCCTGAAATCTGTGTTAGAGAGGAAAAAAGAAAGACAGGTGATCCTGGTTCTCCTAGATTGAGTTTTCCAGCCTATGAATATGGAAGTGTCCCCTGTCTCATGTGAACAAAATCCCGGGAGGACAGCACATCAAACCAATAAGGATTCCTCTAAACAGGTCTGCCTGCCTCCCTCATTTCTCTCTCCTTCCTTTTTTCCACTTAGTTTCTATATTTCTTAGTTAAAATGTGTGCTTATTTCCAAAGCCTATAGCTATCCAAGCCTTGTTACAAAAAAAAAAAAAAAAATCCTCCACAAACCACCCCTACCACATCACCCATTCTTCAGGAACAGCCTGCTGTGAATGTGTGCTGTGTGTGTAGAGGTCCACTATGCCCTCTCCCAACACATGCCTGCACCCCACTTCCTAGCATTTATATATTACGGCTATATAGGCAGATTTGACAGCTGATGTCATATGTACTGTTGTACATACTGTGCCTTCTATGTGATTATATTATTTTCTTATTTTATATTTCATTATCCTTTAAGTTTTTGTTTCTGTTTGGTTTGCCTGTTTGTGGACTTCAAAAATTGTCTTGTTAATTCTGCCTCTGATTCTGTTCTGGTAAAAACAGCTCAAAAGAAAATGTCCAGAGCATTAGATAAACTGTCAATTTTACCCTTTTTGAATAAATCTCTCTCACAACCTTCTGCCCTGTGTCCAGTCTGTGTGGATACTGTCTAAATACCTCTATTAACTTGAGGGTCTCCTTCTCCTTAATGTGGAGAGGGGAGTTCCTTTGTTTCTGTCTCATCAAATTCTCTTTCCTTGGTGTCTTAATTACTTCCTTGTTGCTGAGATACAAGACCCAACACCCACAACTTAAGGAAAGATAGCTTTATTTTGCCTCACAGTTTGCAGAGGTTTCAGTTCATAGCCAGCTGGCTCCCAGGCAGGGCAGCGTGACAGGAGGACATAGTGGCAGGGGAGCAAGAAGCAGAGAGCAATCAAGGAGGAAGGAGGAAACAGACCGTTCCTCCAGTGACCTACCTTCCCCAACTAGGCTCCATCTATCAACATCGCATTTAGCTATAAACTTATTAGTGGACTAATGCACATGCAAGTATCACATCCTCATAACCCAGTCACCTCTCTAAAGGCCCACCTAAGAGCATGATGCTTTGGGGGGAGGACATCTAGATAGAAACCATAACACTTAGTTTATGCCCTAGTTTGGATGGAACACATTTTCTTGATAATAAGTATAATGGACAAAAATTATGTATGATACTCCATGACAATGTTTTCATACCCTACGCTTAATGTGAAATAATTCTCACATCATATCTGAAAAGTTGTTGCTCAATGGATGTCTTCCAGATTTAAATGACACTGGCAAAAAGTCTAGTTTCTTTCTCTTCTTGATGGTATGGAGGAAAATTATTTCCTTCCTTCTCTTTGGAAGCTGGTATAACAGTCTGTCTAGCCTTAGAGTTGTTATATTCTTTTCTATTGCCCCATAACAAATGTCCATAAAGTCTTCAGATGAAAAGAACACCCAATTTTTTAGTATCATGGTTCTCCAGTTCAGAATTGTGTCAAAGAAGAAATGTGTCCTTTGCTTACAGTATTACAAGACTGAAATCAGAGAGTCAGCCTAGCTGAGTTCTCTGGAGATGCTGTGAAGAAATTCTTTTCTTCTGAACTCTTTTTTGGAATTTATTGTTTGTGAGTTATGGTTTAGATCTAGAGTAACCCACAAAGAGTCTCATCCATTCAAAGTTGGGACTAGTGAAAGGGGACTGGCTCATGGGATGCTATACTGATTGGTGGATTAATTCAGTGAAGAGTTCATAACTGAATGTGCTGTTAGGAGCTATGGTTTGAACAAAAAAGGTGGGTCACTAGGGTATGGCTGGCAAAGGCATATCTCTTCCCTGGCTCTTTTTTCTCTTTGCTTTTTGCCTGCTGTGGGCTGAGAATTCTGCCTAGGCCCTCCTACCATACTATTTCTGCCTTGGTGTCAGTTGACAATGGACTGAAAATGTGAGACAAAATAAACATCTCTTTTAAGTTATTGGTGCTGGGTATTTTATCCCAGGGACCAAAAAGGAGCGAAGACACGTATGAATTCTTCTCTAATGTATTGCTACTCTATCTTGCCAAAAAAATTTTAAGATCTTTTTTGGGCTGTCTCTGTCATCTACACCCAGGCAGAGAAACATCTCAAATCAAAATTTAGCATTAGGTGTTCACAGTTTTTCCTTCCAATTTAATTTGAAATAAAGAGTCACAAATAAGCAAAACAGCTAAGAAAATCACCATAATAACAACAATAATGACAACAATGAACAGCCCTTTGTCAGTGCCCTTTATATTTCATGGAATCAATATATTTTATTCATAGTTTTCATACAGATTTTATTACCATTTCTATCTTATAAAAAATGAAGCCAGAAAAATAGTAATAATTACATAAAAATAATAACTACACAAGAGTATCTGCCACAGGGATAAATATTTATAGAACCCAAATTTACAATTTTTTCAATATATGGTTTTGTCTTTAAACTAAATAGAAACAGTGTAACAGAATATTTTGAGTATATGTAACTAGGGGTAGGCTGAGCTGGATTAGATTCTCAAGTCTGGGATTCATTACTTAAATTATCTTGAATAGGTGAATGAATGTCTCAGAGATTCCATCTTCCAATCTATAAAATGTCATGTATTACATAAAATTGGTGAAATTCATGATATGACATATATAAATTGCCTTATACATGAAACCAATTCAATGAAGAGAAGCCATTATCATGATGAAATGTTTTATATCATAATCCTCCCTACAATTTATTAATGCAGTATATTAAAACACATGGCATAGTACCTGGCATATTATTAATATTCAGTATAAATTTGTTCTTCATTGTCTTCATTTACTGGACTCTCCACCCTTAAAGTAACATACAGTAATGCAATAAGGTATGGTATAGATCTCCTAGCAAATTTTACTTTAAAACATTTCATTATAATTCATTTTATTTCTTTTCAGATCATTTAATTTCATCTAACCTTAACTGATAAATTTTATATTTCATTTAAAATAAAATATTTCATTGTCTCCCCAAAACTAAGATATGTAAACCCAATTCATGTTTATGTTAGCTATGAACATGCACTTGATAATTGCCTAGGTTTGCAGAACAGTAAGCATTTCCTTGAAGCTTAGTGGACCAAAAAATTCTTCACAGGGTTAACATGACAGTGACGATTGAACTAAGCCCTAAAGGGAGAAAAGAATTGGAACATGAAGATAAGGGCCAGTGGCTTTACAAAGAGCATTTCAGGTTGCAGTGAAGCATTAGTAAAGTCAAGGGTGTGGGCAAGGATTGAAACATCACCGTAATTCCTGTTAAAGCCATGTTGTCATACTGTACAATGTGAAGGCTCAGAATTCTTTCTATTTCATAGAAAGATAAATGCTTTGTAGAACATATGGTTTGGAATCATTTAGTTAGTATTGAATTCTCCCTGCAGGAAAAGGATTAGTTCCAATGGATGGACAAAATCTAGATAAAATACAGACACTATATTTTCCTTTCAGGGGGTTTTGGTAGCACATGATTCAGCTATCATTTTAATGAGTGATTGATCAAACAAAGGCATATTAAGCTCAAATTCTGTGCCAGGTAGTGCACGCAGCAGTGGAGGTGCACTGAGGAATAACTCAAACTGAGATTTTGGTCACAAGAAATTCAGTATGGTAGAGACAAGCAAACAGATCACCCCAATACAGTGTGACAAATGATCAGTTCCTATCATGAAAAGAACTATCTTTCAAAATAGTGACAGAACTATTAGAAGCTTCAAAACAGACCAAAGGTAAATAAAGGTACAGGGAAAATGACAGAGCAGGAAGCACCAGGACTCTCTCTCTCCAGCTACACAAACCATACTGTTATGGAAATCTGAAAGTTCCAGGAGAAAGCTTGGATGGTAAATTGTAGGTGCTTTAGTCAATTACAGCTCTTAACGTGGTTCTAGCTATCACTCTGCACCTCTAGCTGTAGGCAAACAGCTGTGTATGTATCCCAGGAGCCATCTGCTTGCACTTGTAAAGTTGCTGGGCAGCTGCTTTTCACATTTCTGGTTTAGGCTGACTGCCCTGGGACTTGTTCTGTGATTATTAATAAATCCATACTTGATTAAGGTGTTCCAATTGGGTGTTATTACATTTACTTGAATTAAATTTCCTTTCGTTGAAAAGGTAGTATTTTTGGTTAAAATGGCAAATAGATCAGATTAATGGAGTTGAGAGTCCAAAAGCAGACTGCATTTAATATTTAGAAAGCTTAATGTTTCAAAAGTTGGCATATCAAATCAATGAAGAAAAGATAAACAACACTTGTTTGTCTTAAAACAATTGTGTATTTAAGAAAAAAATTTTATTTCACACTATGCCTGCTCACATGGGTTCATACTCAATAATAAAAGAAATATAGGAGAAATTCAGGACAAGTAAGACTTTCAAAGTAACTGATAAATTTTAGAATCATAAAGAAAAATAATACTCTGATTACTATGGAAATATGAAAAATTTCAGGATCACAAAAGACCACATAAACAGTGTTGTAAGACAGACACTGCACATAGGAGAATCTATCTAATGTATTATGACAGAGAGTGAGAAGGACAGTGATATTATTACAGTTCAGAACATGTAAGGTATTCTGATGTAACAATAAAGCAAAGCAATGCTATCATCTTTGACCTGTTATAATGGTGAATTTTAAAGAAGGATAAGACTGAAATTGTGAGCTATAGCATAGAGAAATGGGTTCTTTCAGACTCTGTGATGGAAATATACATTTGTGAAATGTCTTTTAATATTAATTAAAACTGGACACATCCATAACTTCTTCTTGATAGGACAAAAGCTGCTGCCACTATGTCATCACGGAGGAGCATGGGATACAAGAGATATGTCTGAGATGCCAGAGGTCTTGGACAAGTTCAGAATGCAGGAGCTGTGGCTTCTGTCACCTACCATAACAAGGAAATGACAGGAGGGAAAATTCTTCTTCAGGTATGTGATTCTGAAACCATATGACAGGATGTGGGAGATAGTGAACGTTAAATTGGCAAGAACAGAGGGTGGGTGGGGTTAAAGGGTCACAGGCAAAACCAGAGTTAGGTAGGGGACCCAAGTCACAAAGATGCATAGATGTTGTGCAGGGATGGGCTAGGCTTCAAGATGTTATTAGGGAGTGTCTTGCTAGTTTTGTCATTGCTGAGACAAAATACCAGACACCCACAGTAAAGGAGAAAAGGATTATTTAACTCACAGTCTGTAAAGGTTTCAGTACATAGTTGGATGGCTCCAAGGCAGGGTGGCATGGCAGAGGGTCATCGCAAAAGAGAAACAGTTCTCCTATGTGATGACAGGCAGAAGGTAGCAAAACAACAATGTAGTAATGAAACAGCAAGTGACAACATAAACCTTTTTTCTGTCCTTTGTCTTTTATCCAGGCTACCCTCACGCCCAGGTTGGGCCTTGTCATTATTTACTCCCAGAACTATGCCAAGCCAATCAGTGGACTGATTTAGTAATCATGTACCTTTGATTCCAGCATCACTCTCTAGATCTAGTCACCTCTGGAAAGCCCTCCTATGGCTTTGGGGCAGCATCTAGACATAAGCCATAACAGGAAATGATGGAGAATACACCTGGGTTAGGGTGCTCATGTTGGTGGCAGTCTGATGGGCACACTGGAGGCTGACAAACTCTAGGAGTCAAATGATGAGGACCAGGACATAGAAGGATTCACAAAGGGAGGCGTACCAGAAATAAGAAATACCGTGAAAGTCAGGAGAGCTAATTGACCCAGTACCACAAAATACCATTCACAGGAAAGCTGTGAGGAGAACTGGCATGTGGAATAAAGCAATGAAGAATAGTAGATAAAAAAATGGTCTAGGAAAGCTTGGTGCCTTATTTTATGTGACCTCCACGTGGGAAGTTCTCTCTCATTGTCAGTAGCATAACTGGACCTGAGCACAATTATTCAGTGGTTGGCATCCGCAGCAGCTATGGAATAGGCAAAGATGAATGGTCCACAATCAGATAAACTTGGAGACCAATACTAGTTATGCTTCTTTCTAGTTGTGAGATGTTGGACAAGTCTCTTGGTCCATCTAAATTTCAGTTTCCTTTTCTGTAATGTGGAGAAAATAACAAGTGTCATGTTTTCCACAAAGATTCATTGCTAGAATTTTAAAAGGAGTATGTACTGGAAAAATTCTGTTAAATCTTTTGTCACAGACACTTAAAAATCACGTATCCGCCAAACATAGTCTTGAATATCTATAACCCTGGCACTTAGAGAGACCAAGGCAGAAGAACTGAAAGTCTGAGTCCCACCTAAGGAACTTGGGGATACTCTGCCTCAAAATATAGAAAAATCTGGCAATATAATTGAGTAGTAGAGCATCCTTGGGATTGATACCCAGTCCGCAGTCAAGCCACACAAACCAAGCCCAACCCAACCAAACCAGAAATATCCCCCAAACATATTTATTCTGTACATGATTTTTAAAAATGAAATTAACTTGAATACTGCTTAGGTTTCTTTGCATTCAGAATTAGATTCTTCTGAATCACCATTCAACCAAGCATCATATATGCCCATGTTTTCCACACCATACCACTTTTCTGTGCCACTATGAACCTTGGTGATTTACTGTAATTCTTAAAGAGTTTTTCACTCAAATATAGGGGTGCAAAGCTTTGGTAATGTTGCTGGATGGCACGGTGTCTAGTGGTTCCAGGCTTTTTCTGCCCAACACAAAGAATTGGATGGGACAACAAAACAGCAGTTAAATATCACTTTTACTTAAAGTGAAGAAAGAAAAGGAAAGTGAAGGAAAGAGATACATTTTGCAAGCAGGGCAGACCAATACTGAAACAGGAGGACAGCAGAAGAGAAAGATAGCAAAGCCAATTTTATATCCTCCCAGAACCAGTGTATTGAAAGTTGCTCAGCCCACTCATCCTGGCCATGACTGACAGGTCACATCCTGTTGTTTAGTCTCCATTCCATATCAGATTACATCCTATTTTCAGCCTCAGTTTGGGCTCTTCACAATTGATAGGTTACATCCTGTTTTTAAGCAGGCCTGCCCTTCCCTAATCTTTTGCCTCAGTAATATTTCTTTCCTTTTAATATCTGGTGCTGGTTACCAGAATGCATTCAAGTTGTGAAAATTTGCTGATTTTAACTCTAGTAGTACTTATGTTTTTACGTCTCTATTGTATGTCAATGAAAAGTTTAAAATTTAAAAAAATCTTGTTTTCAACATGGTGTTACCTTGTGCTTTAAACAATATGTGCAAAGTGACTGAAACCCATATTTTAAAATGCAATTATAAATATGAATAAAAAGAACTAAGAAATACTACATTTGGGTTCCAAAGGTTTGCAGGCTTTTGGAACTGATAAACTGACAAATCAAATGCTTACAGTCTACACAATGTACCTGTTGCCCATAAGCCATTTTTGATATTATCTAATTAAAGGGTATTTGTGTCTCCAAGTACGTTTGCACATATTCTTTGGGTAAAGTCTGTATTGTTCTTTCTTTTGTGTCATTGCCCAGAGCTGAAATGAGTGTGGGGGTGCTGCCAAATGCATTGATCAAATACTGACAGGTACACAGTGTCCCTGATAGTTTTTATATCCTAATGTCTTAGTTACTACAAGCATGGCTGAGACAAAATACCTGATGCCCAAAGTTAAGGGAGGAAAGGTTTATTTAGCTCACAGCTTGTAGAGCTTTCTCGCCATAACTGGCTGGCTCCAAGGCAGGGTTTCTTTGCACAGGAGAAACAGCTTATGGTGGGAAGAATGTACAAAGCAACAAGGGATGAACACAGCTCTTCTATCTCTTATATCTTATCCAGGATACTTACAATGGGTAGCACTCACACCATTAATCCTAGTGCACTTGATCCTAGCATTGCACCATGAATCAATCCCAGCATCACACACTCCAGATCTAGGCACCTAAAGCCTCATGTATAACTGCCTGAGGCTTGGGGGAGGCATCTAGACACGACATAACAGCTATTCAGTAGATAAGGGATTTTTATTTAAGTTCTAACCTGAAGAAACCAATGCTTAGACAGTTGAAATGATTTATTCAAGATGATAATTATTAAGTAGTAAAGTAGAATATAAACCCTGATATCTCTGACTGTAAAACTCACCCTCCATGAAGAACTAAATTTCATTGTATTTAATTCCTGAGCTGCAGCTGACTCCTAATGAGCTTAGGTTTTCAACCTGTTTCTTGTGCTGTATCTCATGAACTCTCCCATGCCTGCCATGCTATACTTTTCCCTTACTCTCTGAAGTATAAGAGATCTTCCAGGTGACTCGCCCAATTAGGAAAAAACCCAATGTGACATATATTAACCTCAGAGGAGGAAAAGAGTGTTTCTTAGTGTCTTCACAGTATGATGCTGTGCTTAATAACCCTGAACATGGAAAATCAAGAACATAAAACATACTAATTACAGCTCTCCAGGCATCTGGGATCCAAGAGTCAGTTGCTTTCCTTCAGCAAAATGAGGGAACATTAGACCTAACAGGAGAGCAGAGATTCTGTAGTACAACTGGCTACAACATCAGATGAGGAAACTGAGTGGCAGTGTTGTAAAAAGCCACATCCAAGTTTTCATGGTTAGCGTGTGGCAAAGCTAGGAACACATCTGATTTACCTGCTGCCTGTGGTTTGTCCTCCAACAGTTCATGGGCTGAGAGCTTGGTCCCAGTGTGTTGATGCTGACAGCTGGTAGAACTTTTAAGAGGTGGAACCTATGGAAGGTGAGTAGGTCTTGAAGAGGTACTCCTTCCAGCGGTACATTATCATTCTCACAGGATGACCTATAAGAGTAGGCTGCAAGCAAGCCTGGCTTATACCTGAATCTTTCTTCCTTCTTCACCCACACTTGTGCCCTCCTGCATGTAGCCAGTATCCTTTGAACTTCTCTGCCATGTGATGTTGTAGCCAGGTGGCCTCACCAGGATTCCAGTGCAATGTAATTTGATTCTCCACAGTCCAGAATTGTGGGTCAAGTAAACATCTTGACTTATATGTGCATTTTGATTATAACAACGCAAAATGGACTAAGCCACCAGTTTCCTTGCACCCTGTGATTTAGCAAACCAAGATGAAGTATTTCAGCCAATGCAACTCTTAGAAGGCGAACACAAACATTAAAGTTTCTATTGTATGTTGCACAACTTCTGCCCTCTAATAGCATTGCAATGTGCAATAGATTGTTGATTGATGATTTGACTAAACTACTAGATTGGAATTTGTTTAGGCACTGACAGAAAATAATAAAAAGGAGAAAGAAATCTTTATTTGCAATATGGATAAGTAGCTCCTACCAGATGTGACCCTCTCATAAATAACTGAAATAAATGGTGGTAGCGAGCTAAATATGACCTAAATTTATTGGAGAGGAACAAAAGTGGGCAATCTCTGGTGAGAGTATTGGATGGTGTGGAAGAAGGGGCCTATTTTTTTTTTCATTTTTATTTTATTTT